CACACAGACTGTGAGCGCGGCAGCGAAGTATCGGTACTGCGTACCGACTACTGCTGCTAATGACTTTATATGCACCTATCTGCTTATCATTATGGCCATGAACAATTATAGGATCCCTGCGCGCACCTAGAGACCATGGGTATCTAGTGTTACATCACTCACAGCTCCACGCGCATTCTCATATCTATTTTGAACCTTGGAGTGAAAGATCGAAAAGGCAACCTGTACCCCTTATAAGTGCATGTCGCATCGGTGCACCGTCACGAAAACCATGCATGAAACGAGCAATTTCTTGGAGATAGCGATACAAGCAGAAGCATCGAACGAGTGGGCAACTTGTCAATACTCATAGTGAGTACAACTGCAGTGCGCCGTATGGACGCCTCGTTGCTACACGGCCGCCACCAGTCTCGCGCGAGATACGGATGCTGCGAAATCGCCTGCACCTCTGTGCAGATTCGAACCGGTAACCTTTGGGCTACAAGGTAGACGCCTTATACCAACTGGCCACCGGCTAGACCAGAAGAGGCAAAGCCGAGATACATTGCTGCTGGCGAGATACAGCACAACATACACCGTGTGAATCCCAATCACGGCACTCGTGCGACACTACCACTGCGTATATTTACATGAGCTCAGTGACCTACATGCACAGTGGTTTAAGTGTGTTGTGGCTTAAAGCAGTCGTGCTACCGACATGCGACCGTAGCCTAGAGGTAACGAGCTTGTCTCGTATTCTTGCGGCGCGAGTTCGAATCCGCGCAGGGGTGAGCGTCCTCGTGATATACTCAGCCCGCGTGCGACTGGTGGTCGCACCGTTAGCGAAGCACGGTTACGGCTGATTATTTATTCATTATATTTACCAACATGCGCCAATTAATATTCTGATCAGTGCTAGCGTCCAGTTACGCAAACATGTAGAAAATACTCACGCACAATCTAACGATGACAATCCGTCCGGATGCCACACACCTGGTTGGATGTGCCTTTCACACATCTGTGGTTACTCACACAAGACGGCATTCCTCAAACACTGCCCCTTTCCTGATCGAGATGCATTACCAGCATATGAGTGCCCCATTTCTAACTTGTTTAAATTTCGCGCTATACATCCATCTGACACCATACGCGTATTTGTTTCTGGCGGTCGATATTTACCAATCTGAATTATGCCGTACAAGTGTAAGTGGTTGAATCGTTTCCATCCAACTAACCATGGGCCCGAATCTGAGTGTGATGTTAAAAGGAAATTGACTACCGACATGTTTTTAAATGATTTTTACCTTCGCAAAACTTCGAAGGATCCCCTATCACTACGTTGTAGCTATTTGGGCCTACATCTATGCGTGGAAATTCCCCACTTTTTCGAGTTCTTTTTGAAAAAACCACATACATTTTCCGTTTTAGTGCCTCAGCCGTCTTTCATCAAATGGATAGTGGACCAATTTCGTCGACTTCGCCGACCCCGATGCCGCTCAACCGAAACCAAGGAGCGCCTATTAAACTCAAAGTCACAGATGTCCGAGTGTCGTCAGCAAGGTCCAGACCATCTCGCTCAATCCCATCAGAAATCGTATTCCATCGCTGTGCCTGATCATCAGGCCATCCGCGCGAGAAAATCCACCTCCTCGACTCAAAACATCGCACCTGAACTACGTTTGCCTGCTCCAACGTTAAGTACGAAGCAAAAGTTATCCGACTTCGGCAGTTTACGACGCTGTTTCAGCTTGGCTGAAGATGCTTCACACGAGCAGGGTCTGGTGAATGGTGACACTCCTGTTTCAAAAGTCTTTCCTCCCTTCCGACCAAACGCTGCCTCTGGGCCTTCCGAGGGTTGTGTCAAAACATCGAATCCACCAATGTCCGTTCCACAATCTGTGAATTTCAGCAACCGCCCGAGATGGATATCGCATCTGGACTTGTTTGGAAGTCCTTCATGTTCCTCTCTCATCGTCAATCCACCGTTTCGTGTGGATCGATCCCCTCTGCACCCATTGGGTCCACCGAGTCAGTCAGGGTCCAGACTTGCACTGCACAGGCCCAGCGCAGACCGCACAACTGACTGGCATTACACGAATCATGCTCGTCAGAGCTCTTTGTGCACTCCGAGCCACATGACTCTTCATCTTCGTAAGCGTCCCGCAACACGAGATAGTGGATTCGTCGAATCCGATTCGGTACACCCACAAACACAACCCCCAGATCGGTCTGCAGGCTACTCTATTTCCCCCTTGTCCAGGTCATCAGACGGTGCGCGGTCATTTTTTGCGACCGACACCACCTCGATGGCTATGCCCGCTGTGATACCTCAAACATCCTATGTGTGGTGGACCACGGGGTTCCTCCAGCACGCGGTGCCCCAACGGTTCACACCGGGTCCGATTTCTCGGTGTTCTGGCTATCAACCCACATCAGGTTTGATGGAATACTCTATCAGATAGATACTCGCAGATGGAGTTGTGTGCAACCGCTACAACCTGCAACCTTTTTGTCTGGCTGGCACCGAATCAGAAATGATTGGACCACCACAATCCGTCCCTTCTGTGGGGGAGGCCCTTTCCAACATTTTTTCTTTCATCACATTCAGATGGCATTTATACCTCAAGCGAGTTAATGTTAGTTGATATTTATGTAGAGTACGAAAAGTGATATGCAAAATTTGTTTTTTTTTTCTTTTTCTCCCATTGCGCGTTTCCATATTCTAGGCCCAGCGGACTTTATCGTGCTGCTCCTTTCAAGAGGGTTGCAAGTCGCTTACACAATCCAATTTCAGTGCAATTTAACTAAGCAGTCGCGCGTTACTCTATAGAAATAGACCATTAATTGCAGATAATCTGGGAAATTGAAAGGATGAGTGCACAGGCACACATGTGGACAAAACCTAAGGAGGAGCAAGAGTCCAGAAAGGTATGACAGTTAGACGGAATGTTTAGAAGATAGAGGCGATAGGCATAATGGATACATAGTTGCGCCTTGCTAGGAAGCGTCCTTCAGTACTACTACTACTAATACGGAAGCTGGTTGATCATCCTGACATTTTACTCTGACATCCGTGGCAATCGCAAAACAATGCACCATCAGGTAAGGGAGGCCGACAACTATCTGATTAACATAGCTTAGCTAGCATAGTCAAGGTCACGAACAAGAGACGATCTAGAAAGACACAAGCAGCTATTGTTAAATACCACGTGAAAGATCGCGTCGATCATTCTGTAATCTGGCCGGAAACGAGCTATAATACGCAGACTCGGGTAGACAGAAAGCAATATGGCCGCGTACTTGGTGCGCAAAGCAGAAGTGAATCCTACATCGAGGAAAATCGAACTGTTCACCTTGCCTCGCGCCGATGGACTTTATCGTATTGTTCTCTACACCAGTCTCGTGAGTCGCACTTAACTAGTGGTGTTTTGCCGGCAGAAGAATGGCACTCACACGATACAACTCAAATTACGATCTGAGGTGCAGTGGCTTTAAATCGCCATGGCTCGCAGCACCATAGTGAAGTTAAAAATGATGAGAAGAAACAGATGAAAGGCATCGATCAGATAATTGTTTGGTGTTACGAGCGGGCAGATTTGTGTCTGCCTCGAATACGGTTCCAAGTGACGGGTTATTCAAACCGGTCATTGCCTTTACATCAAACATCACCTGTACTTTAACTACTGTGGATAACCAGTTTCGCAGGAATGTTGTGCTAACTTCTTCGGACAGACTACTTTCAAGGTCATCATGACCGTCTTTATCTATATTTCAAATATAAAGGCCGAGATACTGCACACTATTCGCGAAATTTTAGACCAATTATGAAAGCATATTACAGTAAAATTTTGCCCTGGCGCCTGGGTACAAATACCGGGGAATTTGTTCAGCAATCTGCGATCGCTCCTCAGGAATGCGGAACCGTTCGCTCGAGTGACAACAGCGTTCCATTTGCTGTTTTGTTTATCCGTTTGTAAAATTTTACATTTTAGTCCATCTGCAGTTGATAGTGTAAAATGCTGAAAATGTGCCCATCCGGGTAAGTAAACCTTATCTAAAATGAGTAAAGCTCACTTTAAAGCGAACTGCGGCCCAGATTAGGACTGCAACTCACGAACACAGCGAATGCTTCCAAATGACTCTCTACTATAAGCCTCAAACAGTTCTGCTATAAGACTCAGCCGTATGGCAATCGGTACTCGAAAAGCGCTGAACAGTGTTCTTGTCCTGAGCAGAGCTTATTCTTCACAATCCGTCACCGTCTTGCACACTGAGCCACAGTTCAACCAGGAAAAGGTCACAGTGATGCTAACTTTGACAGATAGAGGAACAAGAGTATGAGGCAAGGAAGTGAGTGGGAAGAGCATCACTCCGATCAGACAGGGTGTTGAACCACGTGATGATGTTGCCCACAGTGGTCGAAGTGTAGGTAACCAAAAGGCGCTAAGACAGGCAGCAGGTAGTCTCGTGAAGAATAACACTGAAACACACAGTCCGAGTGGAGCTCCAGTTTAACCGCACATCATACGTAACTGCTCCTTTTGTCTGGGTCCTACGGTTGGGAATTGCAAGTTGACAATTCGTGGATCGGCGTCGCGCACCGATAGTTGACTGCGTGGCGATAGTATGTATGTAATTTTAACAGTCTATCAACTAGACACGGAGCCAACATAAAACCATGGAGATCAGCGGATAAGCAAGAGTCATCGCGTCATAATCATCGTGGCATGCTAGTTGAAGGTGAGCAACACACTTCAACTAATATGCCGCGGGAAGAATGGAACATTTTGACAAAAAGTAGAATAAAACATTTTTAGTTTGTTTTTCACACGCCGCTTTTGCTCTTTTTTTGTCACCCTAATGTTTGTAGTATTAAACATGTGAACCAATACAATACTGTACACAATTCTTCCACTGATTCCGGTTGCGGGCCATATCTTCAAGAGTGCTAAGCCATTGGCACTCCTCATCTTTGGGTCCCCATCCTGGAAGACGTACGGATCCAACAGCGGCCAGACACGTCAGCGATTTCATGTGCTGCCACCAAGTGGAAGGTTGACCACCACGCGGTCGCCTCCAGCTAGGTCCTTGACGAGCGAATAGAGCGCGACGCGGTAGACGCTCAGGTGCCATGCGAAGGACGTGACCGAGCCATCTCAACTGGCGGAACAAAACCAGTTTGTTGAAGGGAATACTCGCATTCCCCATGATGCGACGTCAAACGTCATCACTATTTACTCGATGTTGCCACCAAACACGAGCGATCCTCCTTAAGCAACCGTTATCGAAGGCAGAAAGACGACGCATGTCTTCCACGCGAATCGACCAAGACTCGCACCCATACAACAGTACTGAGCTAACTGATGCGCTGTAGACGCGGCCCTTAAGTGAGAATGAGACGTCGCGACGACGCCACAAGTGCCTCAGCTTGACAAATGCTGATCGAGCTTTAGCGATACGAAGAGAAACTTCTTTGTTGATAGTGCCGTCAGCAGAAACACAGCTCCCAAGGTAGACGAAACTATCAACCTATTCAAGTTGTGCACCTTCGAGAGTACGGGAGCAGGTGGAAGCCAATCCTTGAGCAGTACTTTACACTTTGATAGGGCGAAGCTCATGCCATACTTAGATGTTTCAACCGCCAAACGATCCAGAATGAGTTGTATACTCTGAGGATCGTCACCAAGTAAGGCGATATCATCAGCATAATCTAAGTCGGTCGCACGCTCACCCGGTAGAAGCTCTAAGCCAAAATGTTGGAAACCTTCTAGAGCATTCGACAGAACTCCTTCGATTGCGAAGAGTGAGCCGGATGTATGAAGGTAAAGTGCTCGTAAGATGGCGGTATATTTCTCTGGCACCCGGTTATTTAGTAAGCAACGCCATAAAGCAGGTCGATCAAAGGAGTCAAAAGCGGCACGTATGTCTAGAAATGCAATGATAGTGGGCCTGTGATAAATGTGGCGATGTTCGAGGAGCTGGCGGAGCGTGAAGATTTGATCCACGCATCCGCGGCCAGGACGGAAACCAGCTTGTTCTTCACGGTAGTATGATTCACGTACTGGGGATAGCCTGCGAAGCAGAATGGATGCCAGTAGCTGAGAGGCAAAAGAAATAAGACTAATCTCGCGATGATTTGCACATGAAGTGCGAGCGCCTTTCTTGAAAATTGGGACAATAACTGATTCGCCCCAAGAGGAAGACACTCTCTTCATGCCAAATTTTTGCGAACAGCGCGGTCAGTTGGTTAATGATTGCCACACCGCCGTACTTGAATAGTCCCGGAGGAAGTCCGTCTAAGCCGGCAGCCTTGAAGCGCTTCAAGCGTCGAATCTCGAGGCAGACTTCCGCTTCGCTGGGTGGATTCAGTGGGACGAGCCAGGGTGGACAACAACGTGTACTGCATGTACTGATGGATGGTGGAGGCCAGTTAAACTGCGAGTGAAAGTGCTCGGCCCAGCGGTCCATACGCCTCTGTTGGTTGGTGAGCAGAGACTCATCCACCTCACAAATGACCTCACTGACACCAGGCTTCCCGAGACCAGTGGACCGAATGAGTTGGAAAAGCCTGCGAGTGTTGCCAGAGAAGGTAGCGGTCTCCATCTCTAAAGCACGCTCAGACCACCATGTCTCGCGATCCTTGCGTAGGCTTTGCTTGAGCAGCCGGTCGGCAGAACGGCGCCGCTCGTTGCAATCTGATTTCGCGGGGATATCTTTGCGGCGTTCGAACAGCTCCAGAGAACGAGCAGAGACCCAAGCCTTTAGGGGGCGTCGAGTTAGGCCGCAGCATGACTGTCCGGAAATAGTCATTGCCTTCCGTATACAAGTCCAGTGTTGTTCCACTTCTTGCGGTGGATTGCAACTGAGTGCATATGCCAGTGAAGACTGATAGCTCGCCTGGACAGAGGAATCAGTTAATCTGTTTACATCAATCTTGCGGTGCTTCGTGTTTCGGGGTCCTCCAAAACACATACAGATTTTCGCGCAGACCAGAGCATGATCTGAGTCAACGAAGGTGGACCAAAAGGACCTGCAGTCCAGTACGCTGCCGCGCCATCTGAAGCTAATTGCAATGTGATCAATTTGAGACCACGGTTGTGTTGAAGAAGGGGGACGCCACGTTGCGGAACGCTTCTTCGTACGCCTGAAGTTAGTGCTCGAAAGAAACGGACGGTTGTCTTCGCACAATGTGAGAAGTCTCTCACCGTTATCAGAGCGGTTCTCATCGAGCGAGTGATGACCACCAGAGTGGCGTTCGTATGGTAACAGACGGCTAACCCGTGCATTAAAATCCCCAGCAAGGATAACGACATCCGACTTTTTAGCAGTAGTCAAGAGCTGTTGTAGATCCCGGTAGAATTCGTCCTTGACCGAGTCGCCACTGCAGTCAGTTGGAGCGTACACGGAGATCACAAACAAGTTGTGTCTCTCTTCGCGGTGCCTGTTGATTCTACATGAACCGCGAAGCCGAACTGCACATAGTCCGCTGTTAATAGGGAACCAGTCCAATAGTGCCACCTGGGCCTTGTCACTTACTGCTATACCTACACCAGCCAAACCCGCTGAGGCTGCTTCTGAATCTCCAGAAAGACGCAGGTGATATCTGGCTTCGTGGTCAGTGGGGGACGTCAATGTAAGCACAGTGCTGGGATCTTGCAATCGGGTTTCTGAAAGGCAGCAGACCTCAATGTCTAGGGAATCTAGGGTGCGCGCTAGACCGGCTTGCTGTCCAATCTGCATGAGTGTCCGAACCTTGAAGCACGCCAGACGGAACGAAGATCGGGGACGAAGGAGAGCCATACGTTGAACTCCTTGGTCTGCGGCGCAACCGAAATCGCAGCCAGATTGTTGAACACATGAATCGGGTAACGGAAAGTGAGGATTGTTAGCAAACAAACAATTGGCATGTGATGAAGTCGCGTGAAAGTGACTAGCAGAAACAGCAGCTGATGAGCACGTTGTAATACAGTCCATGGTTTTGCGAGAGGGCGTGATACTACCCGGTTGCCCAAGCCGAAGTAGGGAGTTGACTTAGGGGACTCCACCCCGAGCCTTTGGCTAAATAACCTACCCGCAAGGCAGCGGGGCGAATTTAGGGAATCGCGCCCATTGGGAGGCGTTGACTGAATGTTCAGTTCATGCGTCTTTGTTTGATAGATTACCAAACAAGGGCCAATAATCCCCATGAAGTCAGCACACCTGCTGGAATACAATGTCCCACCGAGGTGGAACATTGTCGCCGAACACTTTGCTGGAACGGGGTACACCCGAACCACCCAGCTGGCACCACGAGGAGGTAGTTCGGCAAGCCAATTGGCGATGGTGTGTGGGAGATGGTGTGTATATTGTAGCCATGGCTGTATCTCACATAGTCTCCACGAACGTCCGAGGGGAGCAGCGTGAGGAATCCATTCAAGCCACATTGGTAATTTTACCTGGGGAGATAAACTACGGCATTTATCCATTTGTGTAGAAAATGGCAACATTTCCCCCAAGCTCCTAATCCCAGCCAAAATCAGAAGTCAGCGACTTGACGAAAAGGTATGTTGAAGAAGCAGCTACCGAAAAGATGCAGGTAATCTGACAATCAATGCATATTTATAAATCAACCCAGGAACATACAACTTCCGGAATAACTAGGTCAGTTGCACAAAATGGTGGTTTCGACCCCCTTCGACCAATCAGTAGGCCCATGCACCGCGTGACGCACTTGAATTTTATTGTAACGAGGTTTCTACTGAACATTTAAATAATGGGTTTATCGGGGAGATTTCACCTTCTGGCAGACACCGTCATCCATTTGGGTCTTACGGCTCCTAACAAGCGGTCCTGGTGAACGGCCTCCAATTGCAATCAGGTTTAGAACGTGTTACTAGAAAGATAAGCTGCCAAGAGAGATATAACGTTTTGAAGGAGGAACATCGGGGCGAACTAGAAATGCGTACGATCGCGGGAGTTGGTGCGCACAATCAAGCGGCATCAGTAGTCTGCTTGATCTGGCGAGCCGCACAGTACCCTACGAAACTATACAATGTTATGTACTACAGAGAAATTCTCCAACGTATTGAGGAAAAAGTGGGCCCCCGGTTTGTGTTCTGTCGCAGCAAGCTGTTGAAATCATTTCAACGCTAAAATATTAGATGCATCTGTCCGGTCGTCTGTTCGATTCATGAAATGTCCCCGTGTAACGTAGGACGAGCTACACGGATGGCAGGTAGGTCTCAGTGAAATGTCACTGCGATAAGTTTAGATCATATCATGATGCAGTGTTCCGTGTCTCCCATCATCCACTGACCCACTCATACCAGCCCAGTCTTTCATGATCGGACAAACTCAATCTCATTGCACTTCATACTGGAGATTAGAGATTATTCGAGAATACTCTCCTCTTAGAGTTCATGTCTGGTGTGAGCAATGAATGTGCTTAGGAAGAGCGAATGAACCGCTCAGCACCGTTACATCACGTACGATGCTCCGATGGTTGGACCACGTGTTGCGCATGTCATCTCACCGGCTCACGCGTCATGTGTTGTTTGCGCGCTGGGGTGTGGGTGGAAGAAGATGAGGGGGGGGCCAAGCAATGACTTGGTCAAGAGGAATGAAGGCCTTCACTTCGGAGTTGGCGTCGGTTGGTGCATTCCGACTGTCAGGCTGCGGTCCCAAGGACGATTAACACTTTTGGTTGGACATACTTGTTGATATGTTGCGAATTTCTTTGTCCATCACCGTCTCCTTTAGATTAACGATCTCATATCTTATCTCATATACGTTGTATTACCCACTTTCGAATTTTCTGTACTATGTTCTTTTTGTATTGTTGCACATTAGCTGGTGTGTTTCTCACCCTCAGCTAAAGTGTATTGATGATGACTCCTCCTAGAACCCGATTGTCGTCGTTTTTTTACTCTCCAGATTCAAAACGAGCAACGAAGTCCGTGAACGTCACATACAACCGTTCAGGATGGGATAACGCGCCCGTGGGTCGTTAGCACGTTACCGCCTAATCTAGGTCATATGACTTCTGAATGGCAGGGTTGCAGATCAGCGAAAGATTCTCTGTGAATGGCTTTAGACTCAGATAAATTAGCTAATGCGATTAAAAAGCGTGCACAAGTAGTTTTAGTCCCACAGAGTGCGTGTGAGCAGCATCAAGTAGGTCTCCATGTTAATCTGCAGCTGGGCTGGCTTCTCATTGCTGTGGATCAGAAAATTAGTCAAGGGCTCCAGGAGAAGTCTAACTTATTCCGTTGCTTAAGCATCAGGCAACTAAGTCACATTTTGTACCTGGTTGCCTTCCAACAAAATTCCTCTCTCTAAGCAATCAACCGAATACATCATAGACTAAGAGAATTCCATCACTTGTACACTTTTTTCTTCCTGCCCCCCACCCGCTGTAAAGCTTACTCTCCCAGTAGTGTGCTGTTTTAGGCTTCGTTACTCGCTCTAGCGAGCAGGATAGACCACCATTAAAATTGACGTTTCTGTATCACATTAGATATCCGAACGTTCGTAGTCCACGGTAGATTGATCAAACAGGTTAAGCTCGTTATCACACACGCTAGTTGGAAGGGAGAAACCTCATCGATTGCGCCGCAATACAATTACATAGTTATAAAGGAGAGACAAAAGCAGAAAACACGGTAAGAAGATGAAAGCTAATAGATATATGCATTTTGTGTTGTCTCCTCAGTACCATTACCAGCGACGGATATGCAGTTGCAAACAAGCTTAAGAGGAAAGTTCCACTCCTATGTCCATGGCAGCAGTAAGAAGACAAATAATGGTTTCCCAACACAAACAGCTGGCTTCATCGGGCTTATTTCGACAGCTCCGGGGAAACGAAGGAAGCGGGGGTTAGGGTGAAGTAACACAGTTGTGGACACTGATCCGAGCTGTATCCGGTGACGTATGACCAGTAGGTGCTCACTTGCTGAGGAAGCTGGCCGTCTGCTCGATAACGGAGATACAACAGAGCAGGTATGCTGGTCAATTTCACGTTAAACCCACCTTGGTACGTGTTCATTTAATCGGGAGGCCACAGAACTATCGGTTCTTCCTATGCAATTGACTCCGCAGTGTAGATATGCAGTGTGAATTGGTCCCGATTAGCTGAACACGGCGTTGGAGACACCTGAAAATTAGGATTCCGGTTACTGACTGCGATCTGAGCAGCATTGTAACTTCTATGTAGCGGCGACTAATTGTAATATTCCTCCAGCTCGAAGTTCCAAGTTCTTCCATGTCCAACTAGTACAGCGGGTCGTGATAAACCTTTGGAGCTACAACGCAAAATAAACACGGTAGGCGACTGGACGCCCATATCACAACCACCTAGTAAGAGGCCGATCTAAAATAGGCAGCGAAAGAAGCACGGGAGAAGGCAGGACAAAGTGAGCCAGGGAGGAACAAGGATATAAGGGTTCGATGAGGCAACGGCAGTAATAGAAGGAACCCTTATCGACATCTTACCTTTTTAATGTGTTACAAGCACGCCCGTCGACCAGCTACACTAACCGCTTAGTGACCTTAAGCAAAGTAGTCATCCTTGACCATGTTATTTGGTTCGAAAACGAATTGACTGCTATCGTCCACGAAGTTAATACTGTGCCAAAATTGGAAAATGTGCACTTACAAGTACTTTCAAGCGCTACGTGCTAAGAACGTAATTGTAATGAAACCGGATATGGGCTATGGATGGTGGTCATGAACAAGGGCGAGAACACTCGGAAAATCGGTCCCATCTTGAACGCGGGGAACGTGACCGGAAGTACAAACCCACGTAGTCCGACACCTCGAAACGCTTCTCCGTTGCATGACTGATAGTGGGACCTAAAATTGTCTAAGCTAAGTGATGACGTTGCTCCATAGCTGGTTGGGTCACCGAAAACAAATCATAGTGGATTGCCAATTAGACCGATTCTATCCAAGATGAATGCGGCGCAGCATAAAGCGGCTCGCTGGCTAGTGTAGACTTACGCCGTTGCAACAACTCTCAACTTATTGACGACTTAGTTAACATTAACTTACCTGGCAAGATCATGTTTTCTTTGGACGCAATATTTGCTCACCAACATGCCGCGACGTTAGACTGTTGGTTATACTAGTATAGAATAAGATGGGCAGTCTGAACAATGAAAACAGTCTATTGGGCATCGTATCATTTATGATTTACTGTACAACATTAGTCCTCCTCCAAATTAATGTGGTTCCCGAATTTAGCATACAACTCCTTCTTCAAAGCTAGCATATGTGTTCGACTGTCAGATATAAGCTCTTCAAGTTCGGCGGCTCGAGATTGGACACGCTCTTTCTCAGCTGAAAGCTCTGTATTCACATCATCAGTCGGCAGATGAAAGAAGGTTTCTCCGACGAGATATCTTCCGTTCATGGTTAAGAATAAGCAAACATGAAGTCAGAAACTGGTAAGAGTGACAATTTATATCGGGGAAGCTAACAAGACTACCAAAATTCGCACCACATCCGACGCAATAAAAACGAAACTAATGTTTTGAATGGCTCAAATAAAGGGATGTTAAAAGTAACGGTCAATGGCGAACCCATATATTATCATTAAAAATAGTGGTATCGCGATTAGGTTCGAAGACGCACTCTACTCCAAATAAGATCCAACAAGAGTTGTTCATGATATTCTGGAAGCCGATGGTCCAGCACTCTGAATGTGGTAGGAAGGATAGGTATCAGCAGTACGCCGGTACGCAGTACCGACGCTTCGCTGCCGCGCAAACACCACCAGTCGCGCGTAGGCTAAGGATACTGCGAGGGTCGCCCGCTCCCCTAGGCAGGTTCGAACACACGCCCTCGGATTACAATGTAGGTTTGTGATCCTTTAGGCTACGGGTCGATAAAGGAAGCCACATAGAGACTAGATACGCTGCTACACTGAAAAATAACGCTAAAATGCCTGTGACTGGGTTGATATCAACGGCACAGGATCCCAAGACCGTATCACTTCACTGTGGCCCTGGTAACGGTACTACCGGTCATTAGAGTCACTAAATCAGCAATGATTATAAGAAAAGTTAATAAGGCTACTAAGAAAATAATTGAAAAGCTTAGTAGAGACTCAGGTCGAAAGTAGTCACCATTTGATTCAAGAGTAAGTCGTGCTAGGTAGTCTTTAACCCCTTGGGTAGCGTACTTGCTGAGTAGTTGGCGGGCAACTGGAGTGCTCATTCAACTGAGCGGAGATGAAAAGCAAAGCAAACGTCTGGCAGATATACGTGGACGACCCAACAAACGTAGTCACTCTGTGTACATCAAACAGCTCAGTAAGGCAGCAGATAGCACGCAGCCAGATGCCAGCTGGCGAAATCCAGTATTTCTCATTCAGTGTCATCATAAAATAAGCGCGGCGTTGCACAGAGGTCGATGATAGAATAGGATGCCTCGGAATGTTCTTGACGAGCACTGGTCATGTGGCTGGACGCATTGCAGCGGTGCACATCACACTCCAATGATGCCATATTACCCTCAATGGTTTCCAAAATCCGCAGAGTAAACGCTTTGGTTATGTGAACGACAGAAGGGGTCCTGTTACCTAAGTAATTAGACAACCGATTACTCCCTATGGTTGTCTGGTAACAGTAAGGATTGAAGACATAATGACATAGTGCTGGTTCACTACTCTAAGGGTAGAGGGTGCGAAACGCAAATCACAAGTGCAGAGCTCTACGTTGGCCTTCTCAGATGAACTTACGACGAAGATGGTCACTATTTGTGCGAAAACGACTTTTTATATCGGTCAGATGATAGTGGCATAAAACATCTACCTTAATTAGATCACATCACATCACTGATCAGCTACGCCGGTGTTGAAGTGAAGCCACATGATGGCCAGTCAATCTCATTAAAAGAACGCGTGAAAAGCGGCCAGAAAGCTAGGCCAGCCTAGTGCATACTGCATTCCTGGATGAGCGTCCAGCGCCTGCCTGCATCAGCGCGCAGCCAACTCAATCAAAAAGACTCAGTCCGGAATTCAGTGGAGCTCCTGCGCACGGTCTTGTGCTGCTAGCCTTTCCGCCTAGCAAGTGTTTTTCCGGGTCGTTTTTTGATACTCTAATAGAAATGTGGGCGCTGTTTCAGGTTTGTTACTTTGAATTTCATTTTCATGGCACCTGAGTCCACAAAATCGGCGCGTGATCATAGATGACCAAGCAGTGGGGACTGCAGTAACACGGGGACAGAACTTCAGTCGCCGTCTGTTACACTGGAAACAACAGACCGAAATGACTAATGGAGATTGGTTCGGGTAGCGGCGACAAATGGAAGGCGAGGACCGAGTTTGCCAGAAGTATTGTGGTTGCATGCCGGTGAACAAACATAAGCTGGGAACGATTAGGGTCTTGTAGTGGGGATGAATGAACGGTCCAGAAGATGGACTATTTTCGCAGAAATAAGTGACACTCTGAAAGCCCAGCTAACTGAGTTGATCTGACCTAGTAGCCAAGTTAGTGAGAGTAGCTTTCAAAAACCCAGGTATACTACCCAGAGTAGCTCAATTAGATCCGCGAGGTACGAAAGCTGTCGCACTGCGTGAGACAACAGTTGTGCTTCGATGGAGCACAGGGGACCAGAAGCAAGCTCATAATTACTGTCAACTACGGCTCCGCACAATGAGGCTGGACCTTACCGTAGTGCGATGGTTTGTGTGCCTCAGCGATCCATTGAGCTATGCTGGGTGGTGCTTTTGCACCTTCAGAGTCACTCATACCAGATTGGTCAATGGTTAGAGGTCAGACAAACTCAGCCTCCTGGTCCTCCAGGTTGGGGGTTGGAATGAGGGTGGCACCTTATTCCTTAAAACGGACTCCTTGTAGTCCAACGCCAAACCCGCTGCCTTGCGGTCAGGTTTTTGAACCAAAGGCTTTGGTTGAGAACCCTAATCGTTCTCCTGTCTATGCCTGGGCAACCTGACAGTATCCTGCCCACGCAATACAATGAATCACACCTCAAACAAATTGCTGATGCTCTGGCCACCGCAGAGGATAATCAACGGTGCCCTATCTGCTGCATCGAGCAGGGTGGATAGGGGTTTGGATGCTACTGCTCAAGCCTTCCCGTCTTCTTATTCCCCATCTTACGCTTTTTCACTCTTACCGTCCCCTTCCAACTTCACTTATATCCCCCCAGTTTTCAACCCCCCGATTCTTGGCCCTCCCCCAACATGCTTTGCTAGGCATTTATCTTCTAGTTTCAACTCACATGTGAACGCGAAGCGTCACTCCTCTCCTGTCGACAAGCCCATGTCCAACCAAGCGGTCCATTCCAGTTCATCGGCTTCCATTTGGAGCCCTCGATCCTCCTTCAGATTGGCATGCCTTAATGTACGCACACTACTACAAATCGGTCAACAGGCAGCACTTGCCCGAACATTGGAGACCCTCTCGATCGATATCTGCTGCTTATCAGAGACCCGCCTGCAAGACTCGAGCTCTGTGCTCACTCTGCGATCCCCTTCAGGTGACGCAAACAGTATTTTCTCATTGCGCCTATCCGGTGACGATGCAGCTTCGAGCACCGGCCAAGCTGGTGTTGGCATTGCTCTGAGTCCCCGGGCTGAAGCTGCTCTGGTTGGTTGGATTCCAATCAGTAGCCGGATGTGTGCGGTCCGATTGGCTGGCTCCTCTAAAGCTTCGAAGTGGCGCGGGACTAATAGATGTCTATTCATCATCGCTGCCTACGCGCCCACAAACTGTAGCGATGATTCGGTAAAGAACGACTTCTACCGCCAACTGACTCAGCTCCTTCGCCACAGAAGAAGCACGGACACTGTTGTTCTGGCGGGGGATATGAACGCACAAGTTGGAAAGTTGTCCACTGATGAAATGCATCTGGGCGGTCAGCACGGTGTAGGCTCCCGTAATGATAACGGTGAGCGGTTACTTCATTTATGTGAAGATGCTCGTTTATTTCTTGCGAGCACTAATTTCCGACACAGCACCCGCCGGAGGGCGACTTGGCGCCCACCAGCCTCGAACCAGCCTTGGACGCAGATCGATCACATTGCTATTAGTTACCGCTGGAGAGGCTGCATCCAGAATTGTCGCTCGATTTGGAGCACATGTGTGGACACTGATCATGCACTTGTATGTGCTGACATGCGGATGCGCTTTGGAGGACGCCCACGACGACGCTGTGAGCGCATTGACACCAGCCAACTGACAAAGCCAGCTGTTCTGAATGCGTATCAAAGTACGCTGACATGCGAGTTGAGTACTCGCTCACTGGAGACAATTGATGGTCACTGGTCACATGTTCGCCAGACCTTACTAGCAGCGGGCAAATCCTCATGTGGTATATCTAAAAGCCCACATGGACATTGGGTCTCTTCTCGGTCTCTGGAACTTATCGACGCTCGCCGGCATATTCCGGCTGGAAGCGAACACAATGAAACTCGCAAAGAGCTCCGGGCAAAACTCCGCGCTAGCCTGAAGAGAGACCGCGAATCTTGGTGGTCTCATCGTGCGTCAGAGATGGAAGTGGCCGCTGCCCTTGGCAACCATCGTAAGTTATTCCGTCTGATACGGGAAACGGGCAGCAGGAGACCTGGTGTTAGTGAAACAATTTGTGATGAGAGTGGACAGCCTATCCACAATTTGTCAAAACGTTTGGAGCGTTGGGCTGAGCATTTTGAAAAGCAATTTAATCGGCTAGAATTGTCCGATTCGCCGGTCACTGATCGCCCTGCTCCGTGGGCTGTCCCTTTGGATCCACCCTCTCGCTCAGAAGTCGAACGTGAGATCCGACTGTTGAAGTTGAACAAAGCCGCGGGACCAGATGATCTTCCTCCAGCCCTCTTCAAATTCGGAGGCCCTGCTCTTATGGATGCTTTGCATGAATTACTAGTGAAACTGTGGGAGCAGGAGACTGTCCCAACCGACTGGAGCCGCTCCGTTATTGTTCCCATCTTCAAAGGCGGCTCGCGCTCGGAATGCGGCAACCATAGAGGAATCAGTCTGATCTCCATCGCCTCCAAATTACTCGCATCCATAATTCTTCACAGACTGACTGGCGCTCGTGAAAGCCAGATTCGTGAAGAGCAAGCCGGGTTTCGTCGTGGTCGTGGCTGCATTGACCACATCTTCACTTTGCGTCAGTTGTTGGAGCACCGCCACACATATTGGCGGCCCACCGTAGTCGTGTTCCTCGACATCAAAGGTGCCTTCGATTCGGTTGATCGATGTGCCCTTTGGAATTGTCTACTCAGGAAAGGTGTGCCCGAGAAATATGTAAATATTATCCAAGCATTATATGCGCGTAGCACGGGCAGAGTGAGGGCTTACGGCAAGCTGTCGCCACCCTTTAATATCTCCAGCGGTGTGAGACAAGGATGCCCGCTGTCACCTTTCCTCTTCAA